ACCCCCGCCACCACGTCTAATGCGGTCTCTGGCCAGGGACTCCAATGGCGTGCAAGGTCCTGGGCTCTGAGGCCAGCACGAAGTGCTAGTGCCACCCAGTCACGAGGCACCTTCTGGTTGCAGCCGTGGGGGCCAAGGCACAGGTGGCGGGCAGGGCACGTGAGCAAACACAGAAATGACCGGTGAGAAGCGGGTCCGAGCGGAGGTTTTGTCGCTAGTAAGCGGCCGAGGGGAGCGCGTGACTCGGCGGAGGCACTGGCACTGAAGCTGTGGTCCTTGGAGAGTCACTGCCACTGAAGCTGTGGTCCTTGGAGCAGCAGCGCCGGCCCGGCCCGGGGGCTCCGGGGAGGGCAGAGTCACCCAGAGCCGCGCAGCAGGAACAGGAGACTGGCTCGCGTGCCACAGCCCAAGGAGCTTGCGTCCTGCCACGTTGGGACACTATCGCTCAGGTTCGGGTGCTGCTCACAGGGACTCGCTGGGCCGCCTACAGCAGCGCCCGGGCTCCCAGCCGGGCCCAGCAGCTGAGGGCCGGAGCGCTGGGCAGAGATGCCCCGGGCTGCCGGCCTCCCCACAACTTCTGCCTTGGCAGGCCCCCGCTGCCCCAGCCCAGACGCCAGGTGGGGCTAACGACACCCCCGGTCTCGTCTCCCAGAAGACTCTGGCAGAGGCCCAAACACATTTCATGAGCATTCTCCATCGTAGGGGGTGACGGGGGTGGGAGCAGGGCCTCCACAGCCCTCGGCGACCAGCAGAGGGGCAGAAGGGGCCACTGCACACGGTGACCAGGAGGAGGGAGGGCACAGTAGGTATCTGGGGGGCCTCCTGCAGCCACGTGAGCAGATGCCCAGGGCTGGCAGGAGACCTGCAGGGGGGCGCCATGCAGTTGGGGCGGCCACAAGTCTGCGCAGATCCGAAGGGGTGGGGAGGGGTGTCGTGGCCCCCCCAGAAGCAGGGGCTGGACGGCTTGGAGAGTGGAATTTGAAGGATGCTGAGAAGGCTGAGACCAGTCAGGCCGGAGACTCTGCCGCTGCTGACCTCGTCCACGCAGCCCTGGCAGGGAGGGCGGGGCGGGGGGTGAGCGCGGGGCCCGCCGGAGAAAAGCGGGTGCCCCTGGAGGCGGCGCAGGGCCCATGGACCATGCCAGAGTCGGGGTGGGGGCAGCAGGTGAGCAGGCACCCGGCCCCCAGGGACCGGCCCACCCGGATGGGAGGAGCCCCCGAGGCAGGTGGCCAGCGGAGGCCGCAGCTGCGCAGTCAGCGCTGCACTGTCCTGATTTCTCCCAGAACCCACGGCCCCGGTGTGGCTGGAGCCCATGGAGGACACCCCCACGCAGGTCAGCCCAGCCGTCCAGCTCCCGGCACGCAGTGGTGACAAGGACATGGAGAGTAAGTCCGCCAGAGGGGACTGCTAGGGCAGTGCTGTGGCAGCGAGACGCACAGGGCCCCCTACCCTGCAAAGGTGGGGTGAGCCACGCCACGGGGCAGCGATGCCCTGTACCCTGCCCTACAGAGGGGGAGCGCCCGGGACAGCACCTGCCCAAAGCACCCAGGTCTGCCCCCTGCGGGAAGCGGGAGTCCGTGGGGGGCAGCCGCCCAGCGCCTCGCTGGAGCATCGTCCAGCAGGTTGCTCCCCACGCTTGGCCAGCAGGCCACCGGGGGTCCCAGCCACACTGTCTGGCACGGCCCTGCCAGGTCCTCGGCAGCTCCCCTTCTGGGGCGCAGCGGGCTTGCCCTTCCCTCCAGCCTGACCCTCGGGGCCCCGTCCCCCAGGGACAGTTCTTCCAGGACCCCACCGCCTTCTCCCAGGCCAGCCACAGGCTCAGGCTGGGCTCACCCCTCCCCGGACCCAAGAAGGCAGAGTGCAGGGTGAAGGGCGAGCAGGTCGCTGCCCCTGAGGGCCCCCAGGACACCAGTGCCCTCAAGGGCACCTGCTTCAGTAGTGCACTTGAGAACGGTGGCCCGCAGTCCCTACCAGGCCTGGCAGTGCCAGCAGCCTCAGCGACACCCAGAGGGCTGGCTTGCGGGCCACAGGCAGAAGGCGGACAGTCCCGTTAATGATGGCGCAAAGTGAAGATGGCCCTGTGGCCGCTGTCTCTTAAGTGAAATAAACAAACAGGTCATCAGATGGTTCGCCTGACGTCAGCTCTCTCAATGTTAGGCTTTTCGTGTCACGAAACTCAGAAATCAGCAGGGATGTGAATGACCTCTCCTTCGTCCCTTCTGGAGATTCGAGGTGGCCCCAGGGCGGGCCTCAGATGTCACTGCGGTGTGCAGTGCTGGCTGACGTGACCTGTGCGTACCCTGGGGAGGGCAGTCAGAGACGATCCGAGGTGGTGATGGGAAAAGAACCCTTAGTGGCCCGGTCTTCAGTTCCTGTCACACTGTCACTAGGGGTCGGTGCCGGCACCGGTTTATTGAGTTAAATAGTTCAGTTTTTGCTAAAATAATGGCCTTTAGATCTGGAGCCTGAGCTACAAACTGGGGCACAGCCAGTGACTTACTCCCGCCTTGTGTGCCTTGTGGCAGCGACCCACGACCTGAACGCCGTCACGTCCGCTTGCTCTGTCGGGGGCGGCAGTGGGGGGGTCCCGCACACGTCCACGCCCAAACAGGAGGTGAGCATGTTGCTGGCTGCCATCCCAGACTCGTGTGCTGGCCCAGTCTCCTGCACCGTGGTCAGGTGGGGTGGCCGGTCTGCCGTGGCCTCTCCCGCGCTCTGCCAGGGCGCCCGTGGCTGGCCTGGCGGTCATCAGCTGTGCTGCCCCGCACACGCCTCCAGCACGGGTGCAAGAGCGGAGATGCTGGGGCGTGCATCCTGACCACGTGGGAGGCAAAGTTGTTTTCTAAGTGGGGTGTCTGTCGGCACGCCTCCAGCAGTGCTGGGAGGTGTGGTGAAGCCACAGCCTCCCCAGGACCTGATGGCGCCAGGCTTGAGATGCTGCCGGTGGGGCGGGTGTGAGGCGCTGCCTGGGGCGACCTGCACGTCTGGAGCGCGCACACGGCCGAGGGGCTCCCCCGCGCTCCCGCCAGAGGTTCTGGGCACGGCCTCGCCTTCTCTGCACCAGCACCAACCGTTCGCGGCGGTGTCCTCGGTCCAGCGGGGCCCGTCCCCTCGCTCTGACCTTCAGCGTCGTGGCTGCACTTGGCCCTTTGCAGAGTTTATGATCAGCCTGCCAAGTGCCACCGCGTACTTGCTGAGACTCCACAAACTCGAGGCCCTGCGTGCCCAAAGCAGTCTTGCTGGCTCTCGCGCTTCAGGGCAGTTTGGCGGGACATAAAGTTCAAGGCTAAAGTTCCTCTCCCTTCAGCTCTTCACAGGTCACACGTCAGGCCACAGCCGTCGTCTGTGTGGCTGTCCCCGCGTGTCACTCTCGGTCTTGTCGAGTGATTTGCTCTCTGGAAGCTGTTAGACATTTTTCCCTCAAGTCGAGGAGGGTCCCCCGAGCCCTGGGCGCCCCAGAGAACACTCTGACCAGCGATTCCTCAGCAAGCAGCTCTCCCGATCAGGGCCGCAGCCACAGGCCCCAGGAGAAGCTCACGGAGCTGAGGAGCACTCCCAGGACTGTCACCTGCCACCCTGGGGGTTGGCAGTGAGCGCCGACGCCACTCCAAGTCTGCTTGCTTTCCTCAGCTCCTCACTCCTGCAGGGCTTTTGGGGTGATCCTGGTGTTACCCCCCTGGACACCTGCACAAGTGGCCTGGGTAGCTGCCACCCAGAAAGGGCAGGCAGGCGCTGTCCCCGACAGTAGCCGGCAAGGGCAGAACTTGAACCTCTGCTCTGTAATTCACCCGCACCCCGGGCGAGCCCCCCGCCCCACCGCCGTGCCAGCCGCCCTCTCCCCGCTTTCATTCGCTTGCGTGTGTGTGCCATGGCAAACTCAGGAGTCAGTGGAGGACGGGGCCGCAGTGGCAGCGCTCTGCTGTGTGAGCTGCAGGCCTTCGGGCCCCAGCTGCCCTCGAGTGGCAGACACGTCCATCTGGTCCCTGCAGCCCTCATCCAAGCACGGAAGGGAGGGGCCGGCGCGGGCTCGCACACTGGCTCAGAGGTCGCTGCGACGCGTCTGGACAGCTGCTGTGTGCAGTGCCTGCCAGCCCCGTGGAAATGGAGGGGACCTAGGACTCTTGGATAGTCACATGCAAAAGAATGAAGTGGGACCCACACCTCACACCATCCGGGAAGTTAACGCAAAATGGATCAAAGACAAAAATGTAACACCTGAAACTATGACTCCTCGAAGAAAACATATGAGCATCTCCTCACGACCCTGGAGTCGACAAAAGGCTTTTAGCTTTTGGCATGAGCAACAAAAGGGAAAAAAAGCGAACTGGGCCTCATCAAAATTTAAAACTTCCTGTGCTCAAAAGAGACCATGAAGGAAGTGAAACACAACCCACAGAATGGGAGGAAACATTTGCAAATCATATCTCTGAAAAGCGATTTGTATCGAAAAATAAAATAACACTCACAACCGAACAGTAAGATGACCCGGTTGAGAAACGAGCAAGGGACTTGACAGACATTTCTCCAGAGACACACGCGTGACCAACAAGCCCATTAAAAGGTGTCATCAGGGAGATGCTAATCAAGACCACAAGGTGCCACCATGCATCCCCAGGACGCTCCACAAGCGCTGGTGAGGACGGAGAAGCTGAAGCCCGTAAGCCCCGCTGGAGGGCACGCAGAGGGGTGCAGCCACCCCAGGAAGAAAGCAGGCCGGCGGTCCCTCAGAGTTAAACACAGAGAGGCGCCACACACGACGGCCCAAAGGCGGAGCAGCCCGAACCCCACAAAATATCCATCCACACAGCGAAACGTCATCTGACCATAAAAAGGAATAAATCACTGGCACATGTGACAACACAGATGGACCTGAGGACGTGCAGCCAAGCAACAGAAGCCAGTCACAGGAGGCCACATGTCCCATGACTCCATTCACGTGACCGCCCAGAAAGCAGATGGGCGACTGCTGAGGACGGGGCGTGGGGGTGGGGGAACAGAGAGGTGACAGCTGAAGGGTGTGGGTGTGCGTCTGTGAATATGCTAAGACCAGTCAGCGCGTCCGTGAGCGGCGGGCGTGTGGCCTGTAAACCAGCAGCGCAGTTTAAAACGAACAGGCGGACCAGCGCTTTCCCCGTCTCTTCAGGGTAGGAAAGTGGGGAGAGGAGGGGAAAGTGGCTATTTTTACCCATTTCCTTATATTTAAAGAGAAATAGAATAAAGAGTGTCAAGTACGTGAGGACAGAGAGAACAGGAGCGAGGCGGTGAGGGGCAGGAGGGTGGACACTCCTCTGAGGGCACCTTTGTAGCCCATTAAACAACAAAATGTTTTTTAAGTGACACCCCCCAAAAAAGCAACACCCGATATTGACAGCAAACTAAAATAAACTTAACACCACGTTGAGGGAAGACCGCATGGGTCAAGCACCATTCTTAATGATTTTACGAGCAGCGATCTGACTGTGCGCCCCCAGAACTAACAGCCAAGGAACGTGAAGCTGTCTCAGCGACCTCAACATCGGTAGTGATGCTGGTGGTTTTACAGCATTTTAAACAGTATTTTAAAATAACGATGACACATGCATTGTGGGACAGAGTACTGTTAACACCGCCAAGGTTCCCCACATGGGTACAACATAAATTCAAAGTGAAACCCCGTGTTTTATTCCTGGTATGAACTCGGTTTAATTTTACGTTTTAAATCTAACTTCCTAGTCTGTTCTCTGAAAAGACCTGAGTGCTACACCCGATTAACAGCGAGCACCCGACTCCCCAGACTGTGGGCTCTAGGAGCCCGTCCCTACTGAAAGGGGTCGGGGTCTGGGGCAGGTGGCCGAGAAGCCGCTGGTTCCAGGACGAAGCAGAACACGGGGAACTAAGCCCGAGACGCGCTCATGGGAAGGTGCACGCGCTTCCAAAGCCCCTGGGCTGCAAGAGGACCCATGGGCCACAGCGGGATGATCCGGACATCGGGACAGCGAGGACAGCAGCAGGTGGAGACCCACCGAGTGTGCAGAGTCCATGCGGCGCCCAGGAGCCCACGTGGATCAGCTTTAGGGCCGGGGGGCCGACCCGCTGTGCGACCTATTGATGGCCGAGGGCCGCCAACTTTCCAGCTGTGAAGACGGAGGACAGACTCGGTTAGGTCTGTCCCCAGGGAGATGAGGGACCTGGGATCTCTGTCGGGTCTCCGCGGCTGCCCCAGCCAGCGTTGCAAGGTAAGAGAACTCCGTTCTGGACTGACACTGACCCAGGGGTCAGTCCTCACGTCACCAGATCGGCCTCGGAGACGTCACCCGCCCCCCCGTCACACGCCCTCCACCGGTGAAGCAGTCTCGCCAAGACCGTTCGAGCCTGAACCCCATGAAGCCCCCTCTCTCATGAGCAGCTGAGGGGGACATGGGGATGGCGGCTGAGCCGGTGCCACAGGAAGCAGTGAGGCGGGTCCAAGGAGGGCGTTGGTTCTGCAGGACAAGCGCCCCGGCCTCAGTGAGTGCAGACGGGAAGACCAGCACGTTATGGGCTAACCAGGCGCGCACTGCATCGCACTATGGCTGCGTGCCGTGAGACCGGCACCATCAGGGCTGTGTGTCACGACGCTAAGGGACCGGCGCCGAGTGTGTAGGGCAGCACTGCACGCTGTGACAAACACTGAAGCCCTCACGTATCGGGTGCCCACTGACGCGCTCACAGAAGTGGTCTGTGTGAAGCGCTTTGAAATTCTTCAGCGAGAGAAAGGAGGGCCGGGAGGGCGGAGCGCGAGTCAACGAGACTGGAGAAATGTCGAGACTCCTTGAGGCTGAGGGACAGTCTGAGGGGTCCTGCAACCTCTCCTCTTTGTAGGTTCGAAAGTTTTCATAATAAAAATTTTTTTAAAGCCCACAACTCCCCTTCAGCACATCAAG